AACAGTGCAAATACTAGTTAAGGCTTTAGGGTGAGTGGACAAAAGTACTGACTGTGTCTATTGAATCCTTGACCTTATTCTTAAAATCACCCAAAGGCACCAGTTGTGGTGATTCTTCTGAAATCAGTAAACCTAGATTAAAAAAAAAAAAAAAAAGAGGTCCTGGACAACCAAATCTTTTCACACTGCATTCCAGTCATCATGTAGCATAACTGATAGCAGTCAGTGTCAACCTGAGCCCACTTGAACAAGCAACCTAATGGTAAAAACCCATATATTCCAATCTCAAATATTTGTTGTTTTATAAAACAGGCAGTGCATATTCCAGTTGAGTGTCAGGTGAGAGAATGTTAATTTATGAATGGTAGGCTAACTTTTGGAATAAGTACATGATAACTGCCCATTTCATATGGAAAGAAAAGTGATGGATTTTAAATTTAGAATTTAAAACACTAACATTCCATGACAGGGATTAACAAGAGGATTATAGCATATCTGATGTAAAATAGAATTATAATGTGGCTGACATACTGTAAGAGATGAAAGATTATAGTGTGTTGATAGTTGGAAAAGGAGTCCGTCATTAATAGTGATTATATATAGGAAGGAAAGACTTACTATAGGCCTGATATGTAAGTGGAAGATGATTAGAGGGTCTGAAACAGGGGGAAGAGACACCATGTATATAACACAAACATAGGAAATTATAATGAAGCTGATAACATGAGTAACACTTGCTGGGAAAATGACTTTTTTTTAAACACCATTTAATGGTGATACAAGTATTGTTCTTCTCTCATAGAAACCCAATAAACCAGGTTATAAATTTAAAGTGAATTAAGTTTCAGAAGAAATCAAATAAACTCACAATAGCATGTGCAATGTATTTATCAGCAGAAATGCTATAATAAATTGTATTCAAAAGGTTGGTGTATTGAAGTTTTTAACTAACCAGGAAAACATCTGCACTTCAACAATCTGGTACAATCACTCATTTTATTAAGTAATTACTCAAGAGGATATCATATTATAGTACTAACTCTCATTTCAATAGCAGAAAATACCTATTCTAACAAATGATCTGCTTATTTTTCTGCAAACATGGACTCGTTTTATAAAATGAGCAAGGTAATTATCACTCAAGGATAAAAAAATAAATCAGCAGACAAAACTTGATTATATTTAAAAACAGAAAACAATACTCCCATATTACTGTTGACAGCTTACAGTAGTTAAAATTACCCCTTTTAAAGGCTTTAATATGAGTCCAATGAATTTCATGCTGTTTGGGAAATTGACAGAAGGCTCAAATAGTGTTTCCATTTAAGTGTTTTTTTTAAGATGCATTTATTACAGCAGTGCAGTTGTTTCCTATTACTCATATAATATACTTCAAATAAATTAACAGATTCCTCTGGTGAATTAAACTGCTTACCTTTGAGCCTCTCTCATTAAAAATAATTTCAACATCTAAGATTTTACCAAATTGCTGTAAAGAAATAGAAAAGTCACATGAACATAAGAAAACCTAAAAACTTCACAACAGATATAGCATAAATAGTTCAGAGATTTAGAAAAGTACATACCATATATAAAATATGGGTAGTAGTATGGAGATATACGTGGGTAATAAACTACCATACAATCAAGCACAACAATGTCAAATCAAAAAGAGGCTGAATCAAGCGTATGTTATTTGAGAAATTTGGTGCCAGTTACAACTATGTCACTTTCCCTGTGAACATTCACCTACAGCAATTAAATGAAGTTGCACCTACTAATAGAGAACCAAGTTCTGATCAAAATGAAGAGAAGTGAAGGGAAAAGTCCCAACATTTCTCCATACTTTTCAGTGGCCTTTCATTCCTCTGTTTCAGTAGGAGTCACATCCTATTGTGCTAATCCCTTTAGAATGCAGCAATCACCACCTACCAGACAGGTGTTAATTGCTGCATTCAGAAAGGATTATCACCACCTCCCCTTCCCTCACCCCCTTCTCCAGTCCTCTTCTGTACTGAGGAATCTTGGGTCTTCCTGCAGTTGCTCAGAATGGAATGAAGAGGAACAAGGTATCTTTCCTACAGCTACTTCCTGCTGTGAATAAAGATATAGGGTGAAATTCTGGCTTTACTGAAATCAAATAGGAGTTCTGTCATTGACTTCAGTGGAGCCAGGATTCCACCCATACCCTTTAGGAGGTTCTCCCGCAGCTTCCAGTGCCCCTGTAGGATAGTGAAGAGAAGCTCCTAACCAATGGCCTTTTTTTCCTCAAACAGGCTCTACACTGTTATCATATAACATTACTAATTAGGAGGGTTACTTGTGCATTAGAAATATCTACTTATAACAATAGTAACTATTATCACTGATACTATGTGCACACTCACAGGACACTAGATATTGTTCATGTGTGCAAAACCCTAGGCAAAAGAGGAGTTTGTGGTTGTTTTAGTGAAAAGAATGAATGCTAAATCCAAGCAGTATTTAGCATGGGTAAGTGAGAATACTTTTTGATGTGACATAGTTCATGATGTGATGCTTTCCAATACATCATTCAGCATGTCATGTTCTGTTATTTCATGTGTCATTAACATGCCATGTGAAGCAGTGCAACATTGGTGGGGCAATGTGACACAAACAATATATTAAAGTGGAAAGACACAATCTAATGCAGACAAATGCAGAATAACCTTAATGCTTAATTATTCTGAAAACTAGGCTTTACACTAGTGTACTACCTTGTTCTTAGTCTTAAAATATATATTAAGTACCTGGATGACAAGAAAGGTAGAGGTATGTTTTAAACTCATTAAAAAGCTTTAACATTCCATGGGAAAAATCAGCAGACAGTTGTTATCTTTTTCTTTTTCACACTGTTACATTTATCCTCTGATTAGCCCAATGTGTTAACTGCTTTCAAGTTTAATTTATAATTGGTTTACACAGAAAGTGGGATAAGGTTGAAAAACACATGATAAATAAGCCTATTCTCCTATATTCGTGACCCTAAAAAGGACTGGTCTTTACAACATCAAAATGCAAAATCAGACTTAATTTCAGAAACTGAAATTTGCATTTACAGAAATTTCCTACCAATTTAGCAGCTCAAATTTCTTTGCACTTCACCCATTTCTTTAAAAAATACTGTACAATCCCAACTTGCCAGCGTATTTAGGGATCTCTGTTTGGTACTGGGAGGCTGAAGATACTTATAGTTGTAATACTGTTAATATAACCACATCATTTGAAATTGGAGAAGTCCAGGCATCCTCCAGTTTGAAAGTTAGATTTATTTTGGTTTTCTAAATCTTAGTAACTCTGAATACCAAAAGAAATGTAACTTGTTTAAGATAAACTTCAATGCCTTAAGAAACCTATCATTTTATGTATTTGGAAATGGAACCTGTTTTCTGAGGTTTTCTTTTCATGTAATTTGAATGGATTTACATACATTTTCTCTACGGAATTCTTATAAGTTATAAGGTATTTTATGCTTTTGAATTGCGACACGTATCGCAGCAAATATTGTATTGAAGTGAACTTATCTAAAGCAAGGGGCACCTGCCCGTTACAGGCCCTAAAATCTCCACCCAGTAGTGAGCTCAAGATGCCTGCACTTGTCCTCACTAGTCCTCTGCAGTGAATGTAAGTGCCTAAGGGAGGGCTGCTGAGCAGGGTGCTGCAAACAGGACAAGCAATTCAGCTCAGCTGCATGGCACTTCTATGCTGCACCTAGTTTGGCTTGATCCAACCTCTTCACAGGCTAGATCTGGCCCAGGGACCATGTGGTGCTAAACTCTGAGTAGAATAATTCAGGCACAGTAATGTGGAAATGTTCTTTTTTCTCAGTTTATCCCACTTCTGTCCTATGCAAAATACACTCTCAAATTCACAATCAAATAAGAAGCAACACCCTAAACACGTTTTTAAAAATTGAAGTGAAAAATGTATGTGTTTACCCTACTGAATACAAGTTAGCTACTTGATAATTTTTGAGCCCTGTTGACTTTTAAAAGACTGTACTGGGACTCCTATACACTATGCATAATATATATGCCTGCACTAATTTATCACACACACACACATACACACACACACACACAACAAGTAAAATAACTGCAGGTTTTTAACCCACTCCAACAGGCTGTTCTAACATGAGCATAAGCCTGTATGTGTCATTCATTTTTATTAAGATCATGTAAACAGGTGCAGAAAAAGGAGTTCCAGCACCAGACTATGATCTTGTGTATTCTGTTCAATCATATGCAATTTGTGAAAGGAGCATTAGCTTGTGGCTGGATCCAGCAAAGAATTTAGATGTTGCACTACTCAACACGGTAAAACCTAACTTTTAGTCACCTGGGGCATATTTAGACAAGCCCACACACGTGCTTTGCAGCACCACAAAATGCACACTGAGCACATCAAAAGGTTCTCCATGCTGCATTTGTGCAGTACAGAACCCAAATTAGATACTGGGAAATCCTGGTATCTAAAATACCAAAAAAACCAGGGCAGTGCACATGGCCACAGCATGCACCACCCAAAACCAGAGCTTAGCTAGCCAGAGCCACACTCTGGCTGCTGGCCATGCTCTACATGCCTGGATCACTGCCACCGAACCCCAGGTAACACTGCTGGAGCCAGCCCAGGTGCTGGCCCTAACCTCCCCTACCCCACCTGGGGCAATTTGTCACACACAAAAGCATGCATGCAGGGGTGTTCCCCAGGGACAAGTAGCAGCAGCACAATAATGTCCCCAGGGAAATGCATGTGCACATTTGTTGGGACATACCCCTGGATTCCAAGATGGAATCCACTTCTGACAATTGGCCTTAGGACTCTTCCTGCATTTCAGCTGATGACTGTTAATAACGTAAAATGTACAAGCAGTACTTAGAGAAGAGAACAGCACACCCATGCCTCTTCTCTTGTACGTGCCCTAATCACTGGCTAGGGAATCACAATCCCTCTTATCTTCTTCTTCTGGCTAGCTGGCTCTTGAATTCTTTTCTGAAAAGTGGTACAGCTTCGACAGAAGGTGTTCCACCCTCACACAGGAAAGTACAGCCTGCAGCTAGGTAGTTAGGACACTGTACTGGAAAATAGACAATGTGGGCCTGAACCATCTTCGGCTGAGAAGACCTTATAAAGCTAATTTCTCTGACTTTCTGGGTGAATGCTCCAAGTACTGGACTATTGCTGAAAATAGCACCACTACCACCACAAATTGGTTCCATCTCCTGCTCCTGTGTTTTTGAATGAGTGTCTCTGGGTGCTATGTTCTGTAAGGAGCATATTCCTTTAAGTGTGTTAGATGTGATTAGGGTGTACCTACAGGACTGAGTCCCTCCTTAGATAGAGGAACTCAATCCTGTTTGAGGCTACAGATAAGCTTAGGAGTGAACAAGTAATTGAGATGTTTGGCTCTGTCAAGATGCAGACCGTTCTGGTTATGTGCAGGAGTAGAAGTTTGGCATCCAGGGAACTTTACTGGTGAAAAAGTAAGCGCAGACAGAGGAGACAGAAAAGAGCACAGACAGAAGTGCAGCTCCCCACAGAGAAGCACCGTGAGTTATCATAGCAATCCCCTGCACCCATCAGACATACACTGTCAGGTTCTGGAGGTTGAGGGATCAAGCTGCAGCTTGCAGCAGCTGTGAGTCTGCAGCCACTCTCTCCTAGTCCTGCCCCTCCCACCTCTCAGCCCCAGTGCTTTCTTCAGAATGGGAGGTGGAAAGGGAACAGTAGGAGCTCAGTCTGTGGGTTGTCCAGCTGGCATTGCAGGGTGGGGTGGGTGGATTGGAGCTTCCCCACATTGGGAGAGCTCCATCCCTCCTATCCCACCCTCCATCACTGGATGGGCAAACCCCAGACAGAACTCCCTCCATTCCCTTCACGCCTGCTCCCATTCTGAAGACAGTGCTGGGAGCAGGGCTGGCCTGCATCAGCCCAGCCCTGATCCCACTGCGGGTGGACACAAGTTAATGAAGGTGCTCCACTTTGAACTGCCTTGAGCTGAATTCTAACGAGGGTTCAGATTGTCATGGGATACAGTCCTTTTAAAGCACTCTGCAGCCATGCTCTTCTGTAAGGCCACTGCTGTAGGGCACTTCAGGGGGCCAATCATGCAACAAAATGTCACTTGTGTCAGCTCCCTTAGTTATGTGCAGACACCTACACATCAATAGATGGGAGTTTGGAGGATTGTTCTCTTGGCTTAGGTACCTAAAGTTCTCACCTAAGGCATCTAATGGTATATTTATTTTGGGTGACTCTAGGATTGCTCTATTTTGAGCAACGTAAGTCATCCCTCCCTATTTGCATTATCTGATTATACTTCACTGTACACAAAAAACTGAACATAAAATATAATTATAGGACAAGCAAGGTAGGGTGTGAACCCAGTTTCAAACTTTAATTCTCAGGCGAGCTTCTGGTATGGGCTAGACTGAGCAAGGTGTAAGCTACGGGTTTTACTATGGATAATCAGAGGAGTAAAGCTAAAACACTGGCACAGAGGAGGACCCAAGAAACTTAGTGGATCATTTTGTGGATCTGGGCCTTGATTGTGAGCCCAAGTAATGCTTTTAATCCCCAAACCTATATAATCTAAAGGCGTCACAAGTCTTGAATAATATCAGGCAATATAAATGCTTTTCTTTCTTAGAAAGTGAGAAAATATGATATGCTGAAAAATCATGGATTTGCTATCAAGCTACAGTTCTCTAAAATGCGTCTAGGACGGTTTGTTCTTACAAATGGAACAGGCAAATCCAGCAATTGGTTATGAGCAACTGAATAAAGGATCTTACAATGGAAAGCATTAGATAAATTTTGGTATAGACATATATAACTAATGTAGTGCTATCAGAGGATACTGATATAAGCTATAAGTTATGATGCAATTGTTACATCTCCATGACTTCTAATAATATAAGTGTAGCACAACAGTTTCAACTTTAACCCTGCTCCCTTCAGGGTCAAAGCTAGGGCTATTTGGCTAACTTGAATCACTACATGCTCATGCAGATGTAACAGGTATGGCCTAACAGCTGAAGTGGCTAAAATGTATGCTTATGTACGTTTGTCTATACCTTTTGATTACAAGTTAATTGCACCAATAATGTAAAAAAAAAAGTTAAACGTGTCACAATAAGAAGCACACATCCAAACAGGAACAGAGCACTCACCCCAAACATCTGTCTGAGGTCTGGATCCCGGAATCTGAAGGGTATATTTGAGACATGCAGCCGTTTTGGCTGTGATTTGTTTTCTGTGTTTTCAGAGGATTGTGTCTGTTGCTGGCCGTCAGTCTGTGCTGCATCATCTGTCTGCTAAAAAGAGTTAAAGTAAAATAAAGTAAAACATGCTCTAACCATGGCTGTAGTTTTTTCATTCATAAAGGGTGATGAGCTTAACTCTTTACAATATAATTGAAAAGGAAAGCAGGAAGCATTCAAACACTGATGTACAAAAATAACCTAAGTTAGAAATGTAAAACATCTATTAATTCCATCGCTATATTTATTCCAACCACTCTAGACTGTCCAGGACTCGGAACAAACTAAACAGTATGGGAAAGAAGTTCAACAATGTAGGTTAAAAATATATTTTAAATGGTTTTAAAACCTGGTAGAAGTACCGTGGAAATATCTTTACTTTCCATTAATGTTTTCCAAGAGAAGAAATTGAAGCACAGTAACCACGCAACAGCCTACTACCAGTAATAAATTATACACTGTCAAGTGAAGCTACAACTTGGCTTTTCACACAGAGACCAGTAGGAACCTCCTCTCTATTCTGGAAGCAGGGAACACATCACATATTAGTGTCCATTTCATAAGTAGTGCTAATAGCCTCCAGGGATTCAATTTATCAAAATGAATAGTTAGCATTACAGAAAAGGCCTTAAATATAGAAGAATAATGTGTGGCAAAATAAATAATTTTAAGGATATCCAAGATAAAAATGAAACCCAGAAACTGGTCTTTGAAGATTTTCACATTAGAACAAGAACATATAATGTTTAATAGCACTTCCTATGGAGATGCTGTACTACGTTTTAAAGGAAGTGTTGTATTTAGTTTGCATCAGAAGTGTGGCATATTTGAGACCTAATTCTGAATTGCATAAATTATGATTAAATCATAAATGGCATTATGTCACTCATCTGAAAATTAAAATGAATCATCCTTAGTCAAACTGTACTTCGGAGAAATCTGTGTAATTTTCTTTGATGACAATATACAGTGCAGTGTGATTAATTAGGCACTATCTATAGATGCACAAGTGCATGGATAAGAGCATTTATGATTATATTTATGTATGTTAGAGGCTGATTTTTTAAATTTTCACAGGAACTAGGAGTGTAGAAAAGAAGAGGAAAGAGAATGGAGCAGGAGAAAACTGATGGAGAAAAATAGAAGAAACCTTGCATTTCTGCTTCTCTTTCATGCCTCTTCCTTTCCTCTTACATACCTCTTCCATATATTCGTTTTGCTAGTTGTTCTCTTGTCTTCTACTATGGTAGGTTAACTAGTATTCTTGTGTACACTTTTAAAAAAAAAAATATTGGAAATCAAGAAAACTCCCAGTTCCAGCTAGCATCATCAAACTCATCTCTCATGGCTGGAGTTCCCTGGTGGGACATTACTGTAATTATGACAGACAACATTTTTAGGACGAGAAAAACAAAACGTTATCATACTCTTTAATACACATTCACATACTACAGTGACAAGGGCCACAAAAGAACCCATACAGAATGGAATGGAATAGAATAGAAATACAAGTGATCTGAAGAAAACTACGGCTAAGTTTAAAACTAGCAGGAGTGGTTTCACAATGCTCACTATCTGTGCACTCATCAAGCAACTTGTTTGAATTCATCAAGCAAGTTTAAATAAATAAAACGTCTTCGTTCATCTTGTGTACTTCCTGTAATTTCTACCCAGCAAAAGCTTAGAGCAAACAACCATGTTGAGATACAGAGTGATGTTTTGAACACTTTTTTTTTTTTAATTCTTGAAGCTACTTGCCACTTGTGTGAGTCTCACAGAAAACTGGTGTAAGTAATTCAGGGTGGGGAGAGGGGTGGGCCAGGTTGAGGGGTGCTGCCTGGTCCAGGGTGGGCAGTAGGCCTGTGCAAATAGGAAAGTATTCAATTTGGATTCAACCAATTCAGAGGACAATGATCAATTCAGAAATTCAGATCGCTGTCCCAAATTGATTCAGCTGAACTGGCTTCGGAAGATTCGGCGCTGATTTGGAGAGATTCGGTGATTTGGCCATAGACTACAATGGGGAATCACTGAAATACCTATAACTTTGTCATTTTTTGGTCAGATTTGGATGAAATCAGCAGGGATGGTAGCCCATTCTGAGGGAATGAAGTCTACTAAGTTTCAAGGAGATAAGTGCTGGGAAACTGCACCTCAAACTGTTCAAAGCAAAACTTGTGATGCGTGATTTTGCGTGTGTGTTAATACACAGTGGGATGAAAACAGCAGGCATGGTAGCCTGTACTGGGGGGCTTTCCCAGTGCCAGTTAGATCTCCACTTGCCCACCTGTTTCTGGGTCAGCTGCCTGCCCATCTTTTGCTCACAAAAGGGACAGAAAGGCTGCAGAGGCTTATGTGCTGTTTGGGCCTCAGGGAAAGAACACCGTCACTGGCCAGCTACAGATGTCAGTCTTCCCCCCGCCCCCTGCCACCTGCTCCTCCTCCCTCTTATTAGTTTCTGTTCCCCTGCAAGACTGCCTTCCAGATCTCTGAGCCTCCAAATCTTTTCCAAATCTTTTCCAAATCAATTTGGAGGGGTATTTTTTGTCCTCCAATTCAATCTGGATTCCGTGATTCAGCCTTCGCATCAAGCCACATCTCTTCTGAATCAAACCAGTGACCGAAGCTTTGCACACCTCTAGTGGGCAGTTGGTGGATCTGCAGAGGAGGGGTGGTGCCCAGTTGGGAAAGGAGGGAGTCAGGGAGCTAGAAACAGCCCAGTCAGGGTCTGGCAGATAGGAACAGTGCAGCCTCAGGCCTGGGGCTAGCGCTTGGTCTTTTCCAGTCCTGGGGCTGTGCCATGAATGAGATTTCTTAGATCAGGATAATGTGATCTTGATCTAAGTTAGTGCACCTCTTCAACTGAACTGAGATCTGGCACACCATTTTGGGGTGATTTAAGCACTCTGAACTCCTACAGACTTGAGTATTTAGCTCAACCTAACCCTGGTTGAGTCAACCTAAATGTAATACCAGTATACCCATATGCTGTCACTTACATAACTGAAAGAAAAAAAAAAACAATGGGTAGAGGCAGGAGACACTATTACTCCCAGTTCACGGATGAGGAGCTAGAATAGAGCGAGTGAATTAATCTTTCTTCAGGTGACATAGTTAATAACTGCTATTCATCACTTTGGGTTTAATTTTCACATATTCTTGTGAATAATCCACAACTTGCAGCAGTACACCTATAACAATTAATGACAGGGTTGAAGGCTTTATCCGTTCGGCATGAACTGACTCTGCATTCATAGTGTCCAGCACCATGAGATGTCCACTGGAACTGGGGCCTTTAGTCACTACTGTCATACAAAGATTATTATTAAGTTATTAATTATTAAAATAATGCCAAACAATTGTGGAATTATTTTATTTCTGTACGCAGCCTTATACAAAGGTATGTTAAATGTGCAATAATTCATAACTCCTCCCTCTTGCTCTTCATCCCTTATTGGTTGTGATTTGGACCCTACAATCTGAAAGAGGCAGCATTTGAAAATGAAAATTGGGCACTCTCTTCTCATTGAGGTCCATTTTATTTTCTTTCTGCTAAATACCTAATTCTTTCTTCTTTAAGTTAGTCTAAACTACAGCTTCTAGTTCTAACTCAGTAAATCCAACATGTCAAGTCCAAATTTGCTTAGAGACAAAAAAAAGAAAAAGATAACTGAATTCAAGGCCATATCTTCACTGGGATCACTAATTTAACTAAAGCCGTGGCTCTCACCCTTTTGCCTACTGGGACTCACTTGCAAAGATCCATGGCCTGTCCCAACCCACACTCCCCTGGCCCTGGCAGTGCCCAACCCTCAGTCCCCTGCCCCCCCAAGGCCATGCTCATGTCTTTCACTCCTGACCCACAGCCACCTCCCCCCACCCCCAGCCCTGCTGGAGGGACCCCCAGCTGCCTCCATCCCACTAGCAAAGGCTATATATCTGTCAGATGCTTGATATGGTATAGCTTCCACAGAGGATACAAAGGGATGGAAGTCCACCTCAAGGTTTTCTTTTAGAAAACTCAACAAAAGCCACTTCAGGTCCTGAGAACAAAAATCCAGTCAAACTTGAATATTGATCTTTGCCTGTCATGTGTGTGAGTTGCAGCTTTACACTCACCTCCTGTGTTTATTCTTAATCAGATTAAACCCTTTTACTGTCAGGTCCGACAGAGCAATCAAGATCTCTGCCCACTCATGAAAAAGGGTTGTGAAGGAATGCAATTTATATGATGAGGAAATAGGCCTTTACATCAGATAATGAATAGTTTACAGCCCAGGTCAGGTCCTGCTGGTGCCTCAGCA